AATAAAATGGTGGTTACCAAGGGCTGGGGAGATAAAGGCAGAGACAAATATGACTACAAATGAATGGCTTTAAAACTGGGATAAAGATTAAAGTTCCATTTAGTTTTGGAGGTTTGGTGGAGGTGGAAGGGAGGCATATGAGATTTGTTTTGTGATAAGACCTGAAAGCCACTCATGCCAGTTCCTGCTTTGTCCTCCACAGGTCCTGGGTGACTCAGCTGTAACCACCACAGTTCCTGATGGACCATGTCCACCAGGTACATCCTAAGACTGATCCCTAATCCTTTGTAACACCCTTGTCTCCATGTTCTTCCAATCTTCTCTTTCTTGCAATTCCTGTTGTTTTTTTTTTTTATTCAACAGATACTTATTGATCCTTTGCCACATCTGAGGCCATGAAGTAATATCCCTGTGTTTTCCTACTAAGAGTTTTGTACTTCTAGCTTTTACATATAGGTGTTTGTACATCGTGCCAGATAAGGGTCAAACATTATTACATTGCATGTGGCTATATAGTCACATTATTCTATTACACGTGGCTATACAGTTACAGTTGTCCCAGCACTACTGGCTGAAATATTATTCTTTTCCATTGAATGGTCTTGGAACCCTTGTCAGAAATTAGTTGGCCATAAACGTGTGCGTTCGCTTTTGGACCCTTAATTCTATTCCATGGATCTGTGCCTGTCCTTTTGCCAGTACCAGCCTTTCTTGAATAGTGTTGCTTTGCACTAAATTTTGAAATCAAGAAGTGTGAGTTTTCCTACTTTGTTTTCATTTTCCAGAATTATTTTGTTTATATTGGATCCTTTGCAATTCCATATGAATTTTAGAATCAGCTCATCAATTTCTAGAAAAAGTCAGCTGAGTTTCTGCTGGGGATAAGATTGAACCTGTAGCTCAGGTTGCTGTGACGCTTTCTGTGTTTTCTTCCAAGAATTTCACAATTATTTTAGACCTTACACTTTAGGTCTTTGATCAACTTTGGGTTAATTTTTGTACATAGTATAAGATAAGGTGCCAACTTCATTCTCTTGCATGTGGATGTTCAGTTTTCCCAACATTATATCATGAAAAGAATGTTCTTTCCCTCATTGAATGGTCTTGGCGCTCTTATTGAAAAAAAAGTTTAAAAAACTTATAGTAAGGACATATGGGTGATGCCTGTGGCTCAATGAGTAGGGTGCTGGCCCCATATACCGAGGTTGGCAGGTTCAAACCCAGCCCCGGCCAAACTGCAACAAAAAAATAGCCGGGCATTGTGGCGGACGCCTGTAATCCCAGCTACTCGGGAGGCTGAGGCAAAAGAATCACCTAAGCTACAGCACTTTACCACAGGTGATAAAGTGAGACTCTATCTCTTAAAAAAAAAAAAATTACAGTAAGGATATAAATGAAGAAAATGTTTTTGTCCAATTGTACAATGAGTTTGCAATTTGAGCTAAGTGTTATTATAAGAGTCAAAGTTAAAAAAAAAACCTCTAACATTTATAAAGTAAAACACTTACATTAAGCTAAGGTTTATTTATTACTGAAGAAAGAAAAATTTTAGTATAAATTTATAGATTTGAAATTTAGGCTCGGCACCCATAGCTGGGCGTTGTGGTGGGCACCTGTGGTCCCAGCTGAGGCCAGAGAATGGCTTAATCCCAAGAGTTTGAGGTTGTTGTGAGCTGCAATGGCATGGCACTTTACCATAGTGAGATTCTGTCTCAAAAAAAAGTCCAAGCGTACAGTGTTTATAAAGTCTACACTAGTGTGAATAATGTCCTAGGCCTTCATGTTCACTCACTGGCTGCCTCATCCAGAGAAACGTGTAGTCTGCAAGTTCCATTCACAGTAAATACCAGAGACGGGTGTATCATTTTTTACCATTTACACTTTTTTTTTTAGAGACAGAGTCTCACTTTGTCACCCTCAGGATAGAGTGCTTGGAGTCACAGCTCACAGAAACCTCCAGCTCCTGGGCTTAGGTGATTCTCTTGCCTCAGCTTCCCGAGTAGCTGGTACTACAGGGCCCCACCACAATGCCCGGCTATTTTTTGTTGCAGTTGCCACTGCTATTTTAGCTGGCAGGGGTCAAATTTGAACCCGCCACCCTCAGTATATGGGGCCGGTGCCCTACCCACTGAGCCACAGGAGCTGCCCAAGACTTGGCATTGTTAAGATGACAGTATTCTACTGACCAGGAGCACACTGGGCAGAAGGGTTAGGACTTTTTCTTCTGTGAGTTTCCAGGAACTTAGGTGGTACTGTCACAGTCTCTAGGCCCACGTGGCTAATGATCCTTCAAACACATCCATTCTGAATTGATACGTCGTGCATGAGAAAGACACTCTGGATGTTGCATACTTAGTATTAAAAATAAAATATCTCAATGTTGTACATTGATTACATGTAGAAATGATAATGATTTAGATATTTTGGATCAAAAGGTAGATTTTAAAAAGAAATTTGACCTCATTCTTTTCACTGTGTCAATACGGATGCTGTGAATTTGAATTTCATGCATGGCTGGTAATATATTTGTCAGTAGCGCTGGATGGAGGTATACAGTGATACAAATTCAGACCCAAGGGCAAGCTGTGTATGTGGATTGGATTCCACAGAAGGCCATAAGAGGAGGTCCCTGGCCACCTCTGTCAGCCTCTGGGAATTCTGTGGCAATTCAGTCACTGGCTCTGCTCTCTCTTCCCAGGATCCCATTTATCCGATCTCAGTGGAAAGTGTAGCCCATGCACAGGTGGTGTGGATTACATGAGTGTTTCGAACAATCAGCCTTCTTGCTTCCCATGTCAAGTCTGTAAATCAGGTACAGAACACGTGGATCCCAGCCCCATCGGTGAAATGCAGGGTGATGAGATGGGGTTGTAGCCCACACAAGTCAGGGAACCACATTTCAGTCCATACTCTGTTCAGTGATTACGTCTTAGGTCAATAAAATAAAATAAAGACAAACTATTTTACAGTGCATGCCAACTGGTAGGAAATCTTTTAAACTATCATTTGCAACAGGGTGGGTGACCGTACAGCATGGAAAAGGCATGGCTGAGGGGACAGGGCTGGGTTTCAGCCGTGACACAGTTCTGGTCCTGGACCAGGGTCTGTCTTCCCCAGCTCTGTGCTCCTGACAGGTGTGTTACCTCTCTTAGACTCACGCCCTCAGGTTCACCCCTCCTCTCTAGCAGGGCCAGGTTTTGGAAAGTCACCCAAGGGCTCCTCTCCTGCCAGGCTCCCTCAGATTCTACCCCTGTACCTCCCTCGCTACCAACCATGTTATCTAAAGGATTCTTTTTCCCTAATCTTATATAATGGATAATGAATGTTGGTCCTTGTTGAATGATTCTTATTATTGGTGATGGCTGAAGGGTGGTCATCCTCTGTGCTCTGAGTGAGTTGGTGCAGAACTGGCCCTCAGAGCTCCTCAGTGACCTGAATTGAGTGAGAGGGCATCAGGGTGGGGAGGAAGGGTTGAGGGGCGTGCCAAGGGAGCATATCCCCAGAGACTTTTCCTTTCTCTGCAGATGAAGTGTTGGTCAGTAACTGCACGACAACCAAAGACACAGAGTGTCGGTGCAAACCGGGAACCTTCCGGGATAAGTCAAATTTCGCTGAGATCTGCGAGAAGTGCAGCAGCCCTGAGTAAGATATGAAAGGCAAGGGGCTCCTAGGGACAGGAGGAGCCTGTCCTTCCTCTGTCACCTGCTCAGGGACAGTGAACGGAGGGAGGCTTCTCTAAGGTCCCATTTAGCCAGCTGTCCCTTACAGAATCCTGAGTGTCCTCCCTGTGTGTACCCAGGTGCCCTGCTGAGGTGGTCATGAAAACGCCTTGTACCCCCTCAAGTAACATTGAGTGTGTCCGGGAAGAATCAGGTGCTAACACATCTGAGTGGAGAAGCCCAGCTCCTGGAGGGCCAGGGAGCACCAGTCTGGGGAATTCTACCAGTCCCCTCCCTTCTCCAGGCAATGGACCACTCGTGGTTGGGATTGGGATTGTAGTCGGGATTGGGATTGTGCTGCTCTTCGGGATTCTAATATATTCTTACTGGAAACGCATCTGCTCAGGTAGGTGTAGATTGAGGGAGGGGCCCCTAGACACTCTCTGCCCCTCCCCCACCCTGCTGCCCAGGCAGAAGCGCCCTCCTGTGTCCCACATCCTTGTCTCTCTGTGTTGATCACTTTATCTCTGGCCTCACATGCCCCCTAAGAACCAGGATCCGTCAGTTCCTCTCTCGGGGATGGTGGTGCCCTCATCTCCCAAGTCTGGGTTACCCCCCCATCTTCTGGGCCCAGCCAGGCAGGGAAGGAGCCAGCTCCTCCACTGGGGGAGCAGGGTGAGGACCAGGAGAGGTTGGGGGGGTCACAGCTTGCTCAGAGCAGAACCAAACAGAGATTGGACACGTGTGTTTTACTCAGTTTCTTCCTCCTCCTTCTTCCTGAGGGGAACTTAGTGTTGGAAAGGCCCCATCTCTGTCCCCAGGCCCTGGGCTGCTTGTCCAGTGTCTCAGCCCCCAGCCTGCCCCTGCCCTGAGGTTGCCCTCTGGGAGTTCATGCTACCTGGGACCCTCACCAGTTGCTAAGGGGACCCCTTCTCTTCCAGGTCTCACCACGATCGTGCACAAAGTGAGTTGGTTTCTCCAGGACCAGGGGGCACCGGGTGCTCAGAACCAGCTTCCTACCCACATGGAGCCCTGGGTGGGCATGTCCCTACTCTCCTGCTTAGCACACCTCCTGTATGGCAGCCCTGGCTCTTTGCAGTGGCCTGGGGACTCTGGCTGACTAAGAGGGGCACATGGCCACTTTGAGTACCCCACAGGGTGGTGGGCCGTGCTGCAGCCCTGTCCTTCCTACAGCCTGAGTAACACCCCCACCCTGTAGCCCTGTACCCTGGGGATAGGGTAACCTGCCTTAGCACAGCAGCAAGGACCCAGTGGCCAGCAGCAGGTGCTGGATGTGCTGAGCCTCTGCTACCTGGGGTGACCCCACTGGGAGGGGTGGGGATGGCAGGAACAGCAGTGCCGCAGGGGACCTGCAAGGAGCCCTGGATATGGACTCCTGAGTCTTCTCTTTGCCTCTCCAAGGTCCATGGCGGGGGAGTCCCACAAGGGCCTGGAGCAGAGGACAATTCCCTCAACCAGATCCTGAACTGCAGAGACTGTTGGCACATCCGAGTACCAGAGCAGGAGCAAGCAGAGCTGGAAAGTGTCACTGTAACGTTCCCAGGGGAGACAGAGTGTATGCTGGTAAGTGGGGGCAGCTGTGCTGAGCCCTGATCCTGCTCCCAGCCCAGGTCTGGGCGACACAGGCCAGAGAAGCGGCAGCAAAATGGTGACCACCCCCCTCTGTGGGGCCTTCCTCTTCTTATCCCTGTCCTGCTTTGGCTCTGTCCTTAGAGCCTGGAGCCCTGCGGGGGGTTGTTGATGCCTGATTAAGGACCACATGATATCCACCGCATGCTCCTAACAGAACTCGGGGAGCCCTTGCTTGAAACAGCAGGAGTGTTGCATTTGCTCCAGAAGTAGTATTACATTGAACATATTTGAACATAGATCTTCGTCCAGATTTCTGATCATGTTTAGGGAGACTTCTTAGAAGTAGAATTTTGGAGTCAACGTGTGGAAGTGCTGTTTGCTGTGCATGTCCCGCAGATGTGCATACACACGTACACACACAACCCTGGTTTGGGTTTGTATCATTTCACATATTGTGGTCTAACAGTGATGCTTCTGTTTTTCTGGGTTTGCTATCTGGAAAGACTTTGATTGCTTTCAAGTTACATTTCTTTGTTTTGACTGTTTTTGCACATGGTCAGTGTCTTGTCTACTAGAGTGTTTACATAACAAGACATGCTCTCCTGCCCGTGCTCTTTCTCTAATACAAATACTGGAGTCCTGGTTTCTTATTGTCCTTTCATTTGGTCTAATTTTTTCATGTGTACAAGTTTTACTTTTTTTTTTTTTTTGGGAGACAAAGTCTCACGTTGTCACCTTGGGTAGAGTGCCGTGGCATCACAGCTTACTGCAACCTTGGGCTCAAGTGATTCTCTTGTCTCAGCCTGCCTAGTAGCTGGGACTACAGGTGCGGGCCACAACACCTGGCTATTTTTAGAGATGGGAGTCTCTCTCTGGCTCAGGCTGATCTTGAACCTGTGAGCTCAAGCAATCCACCTATCTCTGCCACCCAGAGTGTTAGGATTAACACTCTGTAGGCATGAGCCACTGCACCCAGCCTCATTGTCCTGTATTTTTAGAAAGATCTTTCCCTAGCATATAATGAATGCCTCTAATTTCTTACAGAGATATTTTTTCAGTAATTCAATTTTTGCATATAGCTCGTAATTTAAATAGAATTTATTTTCTGATTGTTATGAAGTTAGATACTTCCTCAATTGTTCCAGTTACTGTCTGCTTCTTCCAACCCCATTTAGCCTCTAATTCTCCCATTTCCATTTGCTTTTGGTCCCTCCTTAGTAACAGGTGAAATATTTATATCAACAATCATCTCCTTCCATCTAGACCAGCAGTTCTCAACCTGTGGGTCGAGACCCCTTTGTAACAATAAAGATACATCCTGAACATCAGATATTTACATTACGATTCATAACAGTAGCAAAATTGTAGTTATGAAGTAGCAACAAAAATAATTTTATGGTTGGGGGTCACCACAACATGAGGAACTGTATTAAAGGGTCGCAGCATTAGGAAGGTTGAGAACCACTGATCTAGACTGTTCCTTTTTTACATCACTGCCCATTTTTCATTTAACAAAGAAAATATAAAGACTTGTGCACCTATAGCTCAAGCAGCTCAGGTGCCAGCCACATACACCAGAGCTGGCAGGTTCAAACCCAGCCCAGGACAGCCAAACAATGACTACTACAACCAAAAAATAGCCGGGCGTTGTGGTGGGCGCCTGTAGTCCCTGCTACTTGGGAGACTGAGGGAAGAGAATTGCTTAAGCCCAAGAATTTGAGGTTGCTGTGAGCCGACACCATGACACTCTACCAAGGGCAACATAGTGAAAAAAAAATTGAATAGACCAAAGACGACCTCCTTTGTTTTTCAAGACTTACCAGTTTACTCAGATAAAATTTATCATTGTTTCATATCATTTTCTCCATGTCTAAGATAATCATTGGAATTTTTCTTGAATTTTCCTTAACTATGAAATAATAATCTAGGAAGAATTGGGATCTTACTAACATTCAGTACTTTTTTTTTAATCACAGAAGATCACAGTTCAAGTCAAGTTTTCATTATAATTCAAAACTTGTGTTTTTCTTCAGATAAATTACTCCTCTTGTTAAGGCTGCTTTCTTGGTTTGTAAATGTCTTATAACATGTATGAGTTGGATCCTTTTATAATTGCCTTTTTTTAATTTGTTTTATGGTTTAAAACGTTCACCCAGCTATATCTTCATGTTTAAGTATGATTTACACTTTACGTTTTTAAAGTTTACAAACATATCTAACATAATGACCATTTTTCCCACTTCATGGCAAACATCTTCCCTGAGGCTTTGGTTTCGTGTCTTATTGTGTGCAGCTAGAACTTTCAGAAAAATGCTCAACAATCTTTAGAGAATGGAGATGTTTTGGTCTTTGTTAGACTTTATTGGAAAGGAGTCTTTTTTTTTTTCTTTTTGTAGAGACAGAGTCTCACTATATCTCCCTCAGTAGAATGCCATGGCATCACAGCTCACAACAATCTCTAACTCTTGAGCTTAGGTGATTCTCCGCCTCCCAAGTAGCTGGGACTAAAGGCACCTACCACAATACCCAGCTATTTTTTTGTTGCAGTTTGGCCGGGGCTGGGTTTGAACCCGCCACCCTTAGTTTATGGAGCCGGCACCCTACCCACTGAGCTACAGGTGCCACCCTGGAAAAGGGTATTCTGTGTCACCAAGGTGTACACTGTTACCTCTTGTCTCATAAGGAAATTATCAGTAGCGTTCTGGGATTAGGATGTTACAACAGTGCCAGCCACTGTGCCCAGGGCTCACAGCCTGCTGTGCCTTCTCTCTGGTCTCTGTATCAGTCCAGACCCTGCTGTGTTGGAGGGGGCCTCCTGCTGCTCTGGTTGCCTCACGCAGCTGGGGATTCTCTCTTCTGCCCCGTTCCCACGTGTGGGCACCTTCCCTGAGTACCTCCAGTCCTGGTGAGCAGGCTGTCCCCCTTCTCCTTCACTGCACTCCTGCCTCCTCTGTCTAGATTCCCAGCGCTGTTGCTTAGATGATCGATCCAAAGGTGGATATCAATTCTCTCCATCCGATCCTGTCTGCGGGGCAGTGTTGTGTAGTCTGCCTTCTTGGTCCCTTCTCCAAACTTTATTGTGCAAAGTGCCCTCGTGTGTATGCAGTCTTCTGTTAAGAATATAAAAAGCCTATGAGCAGTGATTAATTGTCTCCTGCTGGGGCTGGGTGGGAATTGATCGGAAGGGGGCTTTGGTTGGTGTGAATATTCAGTCTTGATTGGGTGGTGGTTACACAGGTGTATACATGGAAGGGAACACAAGTGAGCATGTAACACCCTCTGCAACGAGTAACCAGCACACAGAGCCTGTGAGCCCCATAGGATGGAAAGTTTATGTCTGTCTCCATAGAGACCTAAGGGGGAGGTGACCTGCCACAGGTGTCACAGCTGGCTGGTGGTTGGGGCCACATGGAATCCAGGATTCCTACCTCTGACCAAGGGCATTCTCCGCTATGTGTTACAGGAACAGGCAGAAGGTGAAGAGTCACAGAGGACTAGCCTGCTGCCTGCAGCGAATGGCAGTGCCAACCCCGTCGACGGTAAGTGTCTTGTTCCCAGTGATGCAGCAGAGGACAGGGAATGGTGACAGTGTCCTAACTCTGCCATCCCCATAGCTGATAAGGCTCTTCTAGAACATTCAGTGCTGGAAGCAGGGGATTCTATGCTATTGGCACTGAACTCGAAATACCCCTCTCCTCCACTCTCTCCCACCCTGTCTGTGCCCTAACGATGATCCTAACAACTCTGTCCCCACCCTCATCCACCTCCTTCCTCTTCCCTTCTTCAGCCTCCAAAGTGCCTCCTGAGGGGCTGCCCTGTCCTGTGTGGCACCCACTGGCCCCAGGAAGCTACTGAGACCCAGTTAGCTAAGCTATAGTGTAAACTATAGGCAGGATTCCAAAGACTTAATGCAAAAGGCAATGGGAAATTATGTCATGCATAATTTTTGGTATATTGATTACATGATGGTAAGCTAAGGCCATTTTCTTATTTAGGAAAGAAAAACACTTTTTGAAAACAGATTTAGTGTAGCCTAAGTGTACAGCCTGAGTCTACAGCAGCAATCTGGCGAGGGCCCAAAAAGAACGGTAAGGGATCAGAGGGGCAAATTCTGTCTTTCTCTTTGTGAGCTGAAACACCCATTTTCTCCCATCCTCAGACACTGGTGCTCCCCTTGAGATGTTCACACTCCAGGACTCACCCCAGTAGCTCCCTGGCTCTCAGGCCTTCGGACCTAAGCTGGGAGTCACACCGTTGCACCCCGAATCCTGAGACCTTCAGATGTCAACTTAATGACACTATTCGTCTTCTTAGTTCTCCAGATTGGAGATGACACATCTTGGGACTTCTCAGCCCCCATAATTATTATAAGGCTGATGCCATAGCACTGTAGCTTGGGCCATAGAGTGAGATCTAATTCACCTAATAAGTCTCTTCTTCTGTTTTACTAAAAATACCTGAAAAAAAATACTTTTTAGGGCAGTGCCTGTGGCTCAAAGGAGTAGGGCGCCAGCCCCATATGCCGGAGGTGGTGGGTTCAAACCCAGCCCCGGCCAAAAAACTGCAAGAAAACTAAACCAAACCAAAACAAAACAAAAATACTTTTAAAGCCCTTTTACATAATTTACTTGCTTCTTCACAACTAACTGTTCTTTAATTCAATCTGAATAACTGACCATAACCACTTCTTTGGGTCTTCATTTCCTTATGATGCCTCCTATGCCAAATAAAACTTGTGTTTTTTGTTTTGTTTTGTTTTGGAGACAGTCTCACTCTACTGCTGTAGCATTAGCCTACCTCACAGCAACCTCAAACTCCTGGGCTGAAATAGTCCTCTTACCTAAGTCTCTGGAGTAGTTGGGACTATAGGGTGTACCACCACCACACCCAGCTTTTTTCTCCCTACTTTTAGTAGAGACAGGGTCTTGCTCTTGCTCAGGCTGGTTTCCAGTACCTGAGCTCAAGCAATCTACCCACCTTGGCCTCCCAGAGTGCTAGGATTACAGGCATGAGCTACCTCACCTGGTCAAAACTTGTATTTAAACTGTGAATCAATCCTTTTTTTCTTTTTCAGCTTTTTGGCCGGGGCTGGGTTTGAACCCGCCAACTCCAGTATATGGAGCCAGCGCCCTACTCCTTGAGCCACAGGCACCTCCTTGTGAATCAATCTTTTATCAATTTAATTCTTGAATTCTTTTTTTGGGGGGGGGCAGTTTTTGACAAGGGCCAGGTTTGAACCCGCCAACTCCAGTATATGGGGCCAGCGCCCTACTCCTTGAGCCACAGACACCTCCTTGTGAATTAATCTTTTATCAATTTAATTCTTGAATTCTTTTTTTGGGGGGGGGGCAGTTTTTGACAAGGGCCAGGTTTGAACCTGCCACCTCTAGTATATTGGGCCAGCGCCCTACTCCTTTGAGCCACAGGTTCTGCACTAATTCTTAAATTCTTAAACCTAAATCTAAGACTCTAAGAGAATGGAGGGGAGTTTTTCCACCTAGTTCTGGAACCTGCAGATGGGATCCTGAGAAACCTAACAAAAGCCAGCAGAAGGCAGGAATTCTTCCCAAAGTCAGCTCGCTCAGTTTTCTGTCTGTAGAACCCACTTGAGAAAGGAAGATAAAAAATTACTCCGTTTTTTCTAATGTATGCCAAACACAACCATGAAAAAAAGAATTGCTAAGACCCTCCGGGCACAGTGGCTCACACCTGTAATCCTACAGACTTTAGGTCTTCCTTATATGTCTTTTTATATGCTATTAATCTGTCTCTCTTTTTTTTTTGAGACAGAGTCTCACTACATCACCCTTTGTAGAGTGCTGTGGCATCACAGCTCACAGCAACCTCAAACTCTGGGGCTTAAGCGATGCTCTTGCCTCAGACTCCCAAGTAGCTGAGACTACAGGCGCCTGCCACAACACCCAGCTATTTTTTTGTTGTAGTCGTCATTATTGTTTAGCTGGCCCAGGCTGGGTTGGAACCCACAAGCCTCGGTGTATGTGGTTGGTGCCCTACCTACTGAGCTATCTGGTACTATCTAATATGTCTTTTTTGAGATATTTTTATAATTATTAATGCCCTAGTGGGCACTATCCACTATCTAATACGTCTTTTTTGAGATATGTTGATGTTTACTATTTAATTTATTAATAACTTAAGACCCTTAAGTTATTAAGTGAAATTAAATTTTTTGTTACTTGAACTGCATGCTTGTGACTGGATGCTTTATAAAGAAAAGAAATTTGGGTTCTTAGTAGAGCATCACAAGCATGGAGAAGCAAAAATCCCATGTCCTGCCCTGAAGGCTATGTTACCCATTCTGATATTTCAAACTGTATACAAACCAGCGCATTGTACCCCATGATCGCATTACTGTAACAGCTATGATTTAAAAAAAAAATCCAATGTACTCAATTCTGATATGAGGACAATTGATGCTGGTACATGGTGGGGCATAAGGGAATGGGGGTATGGAGATAAGGAAGGAAAGAGGGTGGGGGGGGTCACTGTGTGTGACACACCTCTTGGGGGCAGGACACAATTGTAAGAGGGAGTTTACCTATGCATGCAATGTGACCTGTTTCTTTGTATCCTCAATGATTCCCTAACAATAAAACAAATTTTTTAAAAATTAAAAATGAATTTGTTGTGGTTCTGGAGGCTGTGAAGTCCAAGGCCCTTAAGGATCCTTCTGGTGAGGGCCTTCTTGCTGATGAGGCCTCCCCGCAGAGTCCTGAGAAGGCAGAGGGGACCACATGACAGAAGGGGCATCGTGAGAGCCAAACAGGCTTTTTCTTTTTGTTTTTGGAGACAGAGTCTTACTCTTTGACCCCAAGTAGAGTACAATGGTATCATCACAGCTCACTTCAACCTCAAACTCCTGGGCTCAAGTGATGTTCCTGCCTCAACCTTCTTAGTAGCTGGGACTACAGGAATGTGCCACAATGCCTGGCTAATTTTTTCTATTTTTCGTAAAGATGGGGTCTTGCTCTTGCTCAGAGATGGTCTCAAACTCCTGATTTCAAGCCATCCTCCTGCCTCAACCTCTCAGAGTGGTAGGATTACAGGCATGAGCCATTGTGCCTGGTGCCAGGCAGGCTTTTACAACAGACCCACTCGTGATGAGTAACCAACTCCTGTGATAAACCATTAACTCATGAATGGATCCAGGGGTGTCCAACCCTGGGCCATGGGTGGCTGTGAATGCTTATCTAAGAGGTGTTTGGGGCTACACATTAGGTACACAAACACTAACAAAAGCTGATGCATAATTTTCCACTATCACAGGTAAGCTTTCATAGCCATACAACTTTATATATAAAGCACATCAAAAAAATAAATTGTATTTTTCATTTAAGAATGGATTCGTTGGCGAGGCGCAGTGGTTCACACCTGGGACGCCAAGGTGGGTGGATTGCTTGAGCTCACAGGTTCAAGACCAGCCTGAGCCAGAGCCAACCTCTAAACATAGCTGGGCATTGCGGTGGGCACTACTTGGGAGGCTGAGGCAAGAGAATCGCTTGAGCCCAAGAGTTTGAGGTTGCTGTGAGCTATGATGCCACGGCACTCTACCGAGGGCAACAAAATGAAACTCTGTCTCAAAAAAGAAAAGAATGGATTTTTTTCCTTCTTCAAAAGAATGGACAGTAATTTTCTTTTTGTTTAGAAGTTATTTAATTGTCTCCAAATGAATCAGTAAATAAAGGATAAACTGCATGGCTTTTGTCTTAGTCTGTTTTGTGCTACTACAACAGAATGCCTGAACCTTGGTAATATATTAAAAAAACAGATTTATTTTTTACTGTTGTAGAGGCTTGGAAGTTCAAGGTCAGAGAGCCTGTATCTGGTGAGGGCCTTCTTGATGCATCCCAAGGCAGAGGGTGGAAGAGCAGGAGAGTATCCATGAGAGAGCGAGTGCCCAAGAGGGGGCCAAATTCCCTTTTGTAACACAGCCAGTTCGGCAATAACAAGCTTACTCTGTAAATAGGGACATTAATCCATCTATGGGGACAAGCCCAAGTGACCTGCTCATCTCTTTAAGGTCCCACCTCTCTCACTCAACACTGTTGCATTGGGAATTCAAACCATAGCAAAAATTCAAAGTAGAAAGAGAGAAAACAAAAGAGAGAATCCTATGCAGTCAAGTTGACTACATTGAATGAATTTATTACAAAGTTTTTTTTTTTTTTTAGAGACAGTCTCACTTTGTCACCCTTGGTAGAGTGCTATGATGTCACAGCTCATAGCCACCTCCAGCTCCTGGGCTTAGGCAATTGTCCTGCCTCAGCCTCCCAAGTAGCT